GGGTTAGGGTTAGGGTTAGGGTTAGGGTTAGGGTTAGGGTTAGGGGTAGGGGTAGGGTGCTTAGCGCTTCGGACGGCGTGGATTTGCCCTCCGCGCTTATGTCGGCGCGGATAAGGGCTTCGCGGTTTTGTCGGTGAACTATATTTTTTTTAGGTTTTTATGGCAACCAGATACAAACAGAAGGAAAATTAATCTTCTCTGCTAGCTTTTTCCATATCCAAATTCCTGTGTCCCCTTCTTCTATATAGCCATAGCAGAAAAACAATTCCATTTAAAAAAAAAGAGAGAAATGGATCACAAGTATCACGAATAAGTGCTACATTCCCAATTCAGCTTCCTAAAATCCTTCTTTAAGATTACCACTCCATAGAAAGTCAAGCACAGGACTTTTCAAGTCTCTCTCTTTTTTTTTCACCCATAGACCAGTGGTTCCCAAACTTGGCAACTTTAAGACTTGTGGACTTCAACTCCCAGCAGAGCTGGCTGGAGAATTCTGGGAGTTGAAGTCCACAAGTCTTAAAGTTGCCAAGTTTGGGAACCACTGGCATAGACTATAGCCAGGCTGATTATGCTGTAGATGAGCTTTCTGTTCCGGTAGGACCTGGGTTTTCCAAATATTCCAAATTAACATCCAGGGTGCCGTATACCAAACGCAGTACATTCAAAACCTTCTCTTGTATGAAGTCCACTTGCTCTGCAGGACAGTAGTCATCCAGGCTGGATCTGGGAACACCAACATTGAACACGTTTTAAGTTTATTTCAAAAGAGCAGCCTTTCCTGCTGATCTTCAAAGGTACAGTTTCATCCTTATTTTCCCTCCTTCGTTTCGCAGTATCAGCTTTCATGCAAATGTTCTTTATTCACCCACAAAGCTTAGCCTGCAATGATTAAAAAACAACAACACCCACCACTCTCTGTCCCATTGATCTTCTCAATGGGGAATCGCAGACAAGTTTTCAAAGAGTCTCAGGGTGGCCTGGATCTAAAATGGAAACGCTCTTTCATATAACTGGTTAGCTGGAGCTCCAGAGATTTCAGCCAGACAGCTACTGGGGTGGGAGTGACATTTTAGCAGCTTACCCGAAATAGGGGGGGATTTCAAATAATTGCTATCATCTTCTTTCATTGCCCAAATAGCGTTTTAAACGATAGGCTCACTGCTTATTTGGTCGGTTTGTCTGGCTATACTATGCTTAAGTCACCATGCTCCATTTCCCCATCATTGGAGACGATGCGAGTATTTCTCAGCCAGACATTTACTCAAGAATTGAAAGATGGAAGCATTAACAATCAGACAATTTGGGTTAGCACAGCTGAGCAATCAGCGGCTGGGCAAAAACTCAAGGAGGTTTCAAATGAAATCGATTGACAGCATCTCCTACATGCTTATTTGAGCATCTCTCATTAATGCTCATTTCTAACCTGAATATTTCATTCATCTCCATTTGCTAATTTGAAATGCTACCTGGAATCATCAGTCAATCTTAAGAAACATACCTGCAAAATTCAAGAATAACTAGCACCATGCATTTAGATGTGATCCCCCCCTCCCCGTTCTATAAATACCTTTCCCTTTTCTTTATCAAAAAAATATTATGGGAGGTACAGATGCCGTCTCTCATTAAAAGTCATGCTTGATATCTTATTATTTTGATTTAGAAGTAACGGAAATGTTATTTCCTCTCCTTCCTTTGCATCTGGCAACCTCTACACCTTTTGAACCACTAAGTTCATAATACATTAAATCAGAATTAAACCAGCATGCACTAAATGAGAATACTGAATTAACTATAGTGGTAACTATAGCATACAACTGTAACCATCACTCACAGACAAAGCAGAGCTAATTAAGGCTTAGCGTAACATATGAACTAGGTTACTAAGCCTGGAGAAGCATTTTGGGTGAGGCATGTTCAGCCTATCAAGCTGCATTGAAAATACACTCACAATTAAACTTACCAGAAGTTAAAAGAAAAGCCATGGAAGAATACTTCAATATACGATTACTATGGTGAGATTATTATATGTGCGGAGATGGAAAGATTTTGATACTATCCACTATGGAAGAATGGTTGGTGAAATTGACAGAGATAAATAAATAAACTTTCTTAACTGAATAAAAAAATACTATCTATGTTTATTGGTGACTAGAAACCTCCTATGGACTTTTTGTAAAATATCATGAACATGATTTATCATAGAAAAAAAGAGTATTTTGATGCAATGAGAGAGAGAGATTGAGAGAGAGAGATTGAGAGAGAGAGAGGGAGGGGTGGTGGTGGTGGTTTAAAATGTGTTTGTATTTCTAACTGCTATGAGTACACACTCTTTGGAACTATTTTCTTTCTTTTCTTTAAATTTGCAAGAAAAGAATTTGTTTTTGTTTTTTCAGCGTTTCACCGAAAATAAGACAGGGACTTATTTTCTTTCGACCCCCGAAATAAGCGCTTGGCCTTATTTTCGGGGAGGTCTTATTATTTTAGAGGTGCAGGAGGCGGCCAGTGGGGTCACCTCATGGCTGCTGCTGTGTTGCAATATTTTCAGGAGGGCTTATTTTAGTGCATGCGCTCAAAAGCCCAATTGGGCTTATTATCCGGGGAGGTCTTATTTTAGGGGGAAACAGGGTATGCTTTCTTTCTTTTTCCCTTTTCTTATTTATATTAGTTTGCATTGGTTTTTTAACCTCCTTTTTAAAATGTTTTAATAAAAATTATATTTAAAAACATGAAACTTACCGGGCTATAGTCACAAGGNCAGTCAGCTGAAGTGGCCTGCAGTACTGCACCCTAACCACTGCGCCACCTCGGCTCTTGCAAGAACCAATGGGCAAGATTGGTGTTGTAGCTGGATAGTTACCTGTGTGTATATTTCTTTGAAAGGATTCTTAACTGAAAAGAAGTCCAAGTCGATATCTAAAACGTAAGCACTGCCCTTCTTCAGCACATGGAGAATGTCTCGCGCAAGTTCTGACATTTGATACCGGTGTTTTCCCGCGGAAGCAGATGCAGAGGGAACCCGGGAATTGCTCGGCTTCTCATGCCCAGAGATACCCTCCCCAAAGCCAACAGAGAGTCCAGCTGTGCAACTGTGGGTCGGGTCAGCAGAGTCTTTCGAGGAGGAGGCATCACCTGAGTCATCAACACTTAATTTGCACTTTTTAGCAGAATGTGGAGCTTGGCTGCCCTCCCAATCGCCAGAAGCTGTGGAGGGATTCACAAGGCGCACATCCAGATGTAAAGGTTTTTTGTTCTCCAGCTGATCAGCTGGGACATAGAGACCATCAGAAAGGAAGTAAGCATCCGTGCTTGTAACCCTGGGAATAATAAAAGTTTATGGTTATTGTAAGCTTATTTCTGGAAATATATACATATAAAAAAAGGGCCGGATACACTGGAAGGAATCACGGATCATAAGATAGAATTGAAACCAGAATTATGCTTATTAGGTATACTAGACCCAAAGATGGACAACAAACATCGATATATAATATTACACATACTAACTGCTGCTAGGATTTGCACAAAATTGGAAAAAAAAAACTACACGCCCCCCACCGCCCGATGCAATGGTAATTAGGAAGATACTCGAATGTGCTGAAATGGAGAAAAGAGAAGACTATTATAAAATTTGGAGTCGACGGCACAAGTGGCTGGAGAATAGAAGCCAAAACAAGGAATAGAAGTTTTAAGAACCATTGATTATAATATGAAGAAAAATTTATGTATGTAAAATCTGATTATATGTATTATACTGTCCTATTACAATATAACATTAGTATTAGAATTCTTAAAATCTACAAGAAACCAATACCCGAGTAGTAAACTACAAAAGCAGAATATACTGTGAAATTATATTATATTGTTATGTTGTGTTTTTTATCTGTTTGCATTTGTTTTTGTATTTTTTTCTTGTTTTTTTTTTTTCCTTTTCCTTTTTTCTTCTTTTTACTTGTGGTTTCTTAAACTTGAAAATGTTCAATAAAAACTATTTTTTTTAAAAAAAGGGATGGACAACTCATGGCCAGATACACTAACTCAGTGTTTCTCAACCTTGGCAACTTGAAGATGTCNGATCTTGCTGTGACCCCCTAGGAAAAGGTTATGCCCCGCCCTGTACTTATACTTAAGACCTGATCTCCCAAGGATCTCCAGCCAGGATGATTACAAATGTTGTTGCATCTGCAGAATGCTTTAAAAATGGTTTGCTTGAGAAAGTTTGCTTAATTTGCCAAAATTAAGCCAACTTTAGACCTTGGTTTATGAACTTGAGTTCTTTCAAACAAATCATAATTGTTTCAAAATTGCAGATTTGAAGAGCAACACTAAATTATGGTTGACTTAATTTTCACTTCTAATCTTACAGTTGAATGAATGCAAGGGAAGAGAGAAATTAATCTTGTTGTGGTAAGTATAGGTTGTAACGCAACCAATATCTGTGGGTCAATATCTGCATGACAGTATCATGGTCTGGAAATAATAATTAAAAAAATGAATAGGCTTACCATCTCATAATCTGGAGTTCCCATTCGATCTTTCAAATTACGCACCAGTTGAACCAGAGGTTTCATTCTACATAGAATTAAAATATAAATTGTGCAATTAATATAAACAGGAAATGTTCTAGGCATAAACTCTAAGGAAGCTGGGGAAACTATGATACACAATATACGTCATTCTACAAATTGTATCCCTCTCTATTTTTAAAGTTTTACTACATTAAAATGAAAACTGCAGACTTCTTCCAGAGAAAAAAGAAAATAGATCTTGACATTAGGATGAAGCACCATTCTCTTTTAAGATATCATATAATAACAACTTAGGTTCCTGGCAAATTATAGCTAGGCCTGATTTATTCATAAATGTGGACAAATTGTATAGCATAGCCTCAATATTTAAATATATTTTCTACTTAAAAAAATGTATTTTTTGAGGAAGTGTGGGATTTTGCTGTTGGTGGTGATATCTGTCCTATTTCTACATAAAAACATGCTTTGTGCTTTAAACTGTCCTGGTAATCAGTGGCTTTTAAAAACTCAGGTAAATATTTTCTGCCTCAGACTCTTTGAACAGGCTGGAACACTGGCAGACTTATCTGTGTATACTTAATTTCTCTCTTTTGTTATTTATAACTTGCTATAGTGAGAACTATTGTGGAAACGTACAGGGCTCGAAGAAGGAACAGACATTAAATATGGAAATAAATAAATATTCTGAAAGATTCATTGCAGTATATAAAGAAAGTTTGATGCATGATGATAGACTTGATACAAAAAATATGCCTAGTATGGAGAAATAAAAAAATTCTAGCAAAAATTCATCAAGTGTGAAGTTGTTCTCCCTCCAAAAATAACTGAGTTCCCAGAAAGGCTTTGTCTTTCAGTGTTTGTAAGATGCACCAGAGTATAAGACGCACTGAGATTTTGAAGAGGTAAATTTTAAAAATAAACTTTTTGCCCTCCCTGGTCCCCAGGAGCAACTCTGCAGGCTTTTTTTCATTTTTTGTGAAAAAGGGGCATGCAGAGAGTTTGGGAGGCCTGCAGAGGGCAAAAAAGGGCCCATTTTTCACACAAAAGGGCCCTATTTTGCAAAAACCAGGGTGTGCAGAGGGTTTGGGAGGCCATTAGAGTGCTCCTGGGGGCTGCAGAGGACAAAAATGAGGAACAAACAGGGCATGCAGAGAGTTTGGAAGGCAGAGTGCTCCTGAGAGGGCAAAACCAGCCTCGTTTTTATGAAAAACAGGCCCGATTTTTACTCGTTTTTGCCTTCCCAGCCCCCAAGGGGAACTTTGCAGGTCTCCCAAACCCTCCGCGCATCTCCATTTTTGTGAAAAACGGGATGGGCAGGGTTTCAGGAGGCCAAAAATGCTGTATTCAGTGTATAAGACGCACCCAGGTTTTCACCCTCTTTTTTGGGGGACAAAGGTGCGTCTTATACTCCGAAAAATGCAGTAGCTCCCAGCACCATCTCCTCAAAGTCTAGTTCATAATAGACTCGGTGTCAGGAAGAGGGTTCAATTACAATACCCAGGATTTGCAGCCCATCGTTTCAGGTTTTCTTCGGTGTCATCATCACACAAATCAGCAAATGCTGCTTCTAGATCTTCCAGCTGGTGTGTGCGGTTCTCTACGCAGTCGACCAACTCGTCCTTCAAATATAAAAGCAGAAAGCACTAAGCCATTGTAGGAAGCCAGGAGGCCAGCTCTCCAGCTGGGAAAATGCGCTTATATTTTTGCTGCTGTAGATTAAAGGCCCTGCATAATCCTTCTGATTTCTTTCTTTCTTTCTCCAACTCTTTAATCCCTTTGTTTCGAGGTGGAGTCAGCGCAACTGAGTGGAACTGAGCATTTACTGGCCGGATGCCTTTCCGATGACTACACGGAGTTCATAGCATGTATTTTCTCTTTTTGTCCTGATAGAGAAACTTCTGCTGCTGCCTAGGATTGAATTCTCAGCCTTCCAAGTGTTTTCCCCTCTAGGCCGCTGCGCTGCTCCAAAATCCTTCTGCATCAACTGCCCCAAATCTCCTTTGAAGCGAATTCAGTACTAGCGGCCATTCTTTAAAACAGGGATGTCCTGGGCTGCATTAAGGAAATGGAGATAGTTTCTAGGGTTCCACCACAAAACCGCAGTAGACTAAAGCGCGCTCGACGAAAGCGCGTACGTGACGTCATCACAGCGCGACGAAAACAGCACGNTGGTCAGTGTCTCTTTGCACTTCTACCATCAGGCAGAAGACATCAAAGTATAACCAGCCGAACAAACAGGTTTAAAGATAGTTTCTATCCTTGGGCTGTGAGACTTTTAAATACAACCACAATCACTCCATGCACATGCTAGTTTTTCTTTTTCTTTCTTTCTTTGTTTCTGTTATAATTTTGCATCAGTGAGGTTAAAACCAATTTTGTTGTATTTAAGTACAATGACAATAATTACTTATTTTCTGATTTGTGGTGAGATTGCAATAAGCTTCCAAGGACCTTGAAAAGATTTGTAAAATAGTATTTTACGGTGCTTGATGGTTGACATGTAATGTTATTTGATAGTAGATAGTATCTGAACAGGCTATAGTAATATTTCATATCTGTAAAGACTTCAAAGATATCATGAAATCATGAACATTGGTAACAAACTTGTGAATTTAGGTGAGTTTGTATTTGAAGTTTACTAGCATTGGTAATTTAAATGGTTGGATTTACAAATTTACGAAAAAAAATATATTCAGAAGCAAATATGTTTTTTTAAAAAATTCTGCATTTTGATTCATTAAGGCCTTTTGATGAAAGTAAGTACAAAATATGGCTCAACATCCAGTTGCCTGTGAAGCTATTAGATTGGTTACATCTCTGTTATGTCACATAACAGACATAATAGACACACAAATAGAATATATACGATTGATGTGCTATATATGGATCAAAATAATCAGAGACATGTTGGTTTAGGAAGAGTTACAGTTTTGCTTCTTTATATATTTCTATCCTTCCAAATTATGTTTGGAAAATTAAAACATTGTGGAACTATTTAGAAAAAACAGACTGTCAAATAGAAAATTATGTTCATTACGCTAATAAATGGATGATCATGTGACAGCTTACATGTCTTTTCTAATTTGTTTATAAGTCATTTAAGTTATTTAAACATTTTTCTCTGTCTCTATTACTCTCAGATGTTACTGTCAAGAGTTTTGGCCTTTGGGCTGCCCTTATTTATTTATATATGTGCTCATTGAAATCTGTCAGGGCTGTGACAGTATCTTTGCAACTTCACTTAAGTTTTATTGTTGAAAAAAATTGCTCTGCTAAATTAATTCTCTGAGCTGAATAATGTCTGGTACTATAAGCAGATTATCCAGTGATGCAAGGGAGCAGACACTCATTAAATGCTTATTCTTTGGTGTTGTTATAACTAATACATTAAATATTTTACACATCATTGTCACTTTCACAGGTAAAGTTATTTGCTCACTAGTTAAACTTGGAATAGTTGATGGCTAATATCTTTTGCTGCTTGATAATAATGGGGTTGTTATCAAGGGCTAAACCATACCCTTGCACTTAACATGTATATAACATTGATGATTTTAGGATGATGGTAGAAAAGATATCTATCTGTTGTTATTCATTTGGCCTTTCTTAATTAATCTTATTTTTTCCACTATGTTCCTTTACTTTCATTACTACTGCTTGCAGATTACTTTAATTTTTAACTATTAAAGTAGTGTCATCTGTATAGCACAGGTTATTATTATACCTTCTTCCAATTCAAAAATAGAACTGATTTTCTTCCAATCCAGTTTCTTTCAATATATATATTAAGCATATAGTTTGAAGAAATAATAAGAGCATATACAATCTTGTCTCATTCCATTGCCAACATCTCCTTAATCACATTATTCAAAAAATTGTCCATCATTTCATTTTTCTATCCACAAGGTTTTCTTAGTAACATATAAGAATTGTTGATCATGCCTTCTCCAACATACTATGAAATAATATCTTTGTCATTGCTTCTGAAGTGATCATTTGCCTCCGCCATCTTCCTATATAGGTATAACTTGACATTAGTTTCTGCTTGCTTTATTTAAGGAGATGGGATGATCTTCATGCTTTGAGTGACCTTGCTGACTGAATATTTGCAAATATTTTACAAATAACTCTAGATGGCAAAAATATCTAACACACCTTCCTCCTCCTATTTTCCCCGCAACAACAACCCTGTGAGGTGGGTTTGGCCGAAAGAAAGTGAGTGACCTAAAGTCACCCAGTTGGCTTTCATTCCTAAGGCAATACTTAAACTCATGATCTCACCTTTTCTGGCCTTGTCTAGACCAAACTGGCTTTCTCTACTCTCTTCATAAACTCCCAATATTCTTTATTTGTGTTTCCCAGGAATCTTATATACATGTAAAGGCGTAATAAGCCTAATAAGATTTATGTAGAAGCAGCAGTTTTATGCAAAGTAAAAGCATTAATTTGTCTAACTCAATATTGCCTATACAGAATGGCAGATTCTCTGTTTCTGTCTCTCTTTTGTCCTGTTTTCTTTTAAATTATGCTTGAAGATTCCAAGAGCTAAACTCAGGTTCACACAATCCTTCTTCAAATAGAGAATATAGATTTCCCCTCCCACTGAATTACAATTGTTCTCCTTTACTTTGTAACATCCAACTTAAATAGCCTTTAGGCTCTATTTTTTTAGCTTTTGGACCAAATACAACAGACCTATAATGAATAACTTTTATATAAATATGAATAAAATCAGGTAGTGCAACTAAAATATTTATTTAAAGTGTGTATGCCATTCCTTTCCTCATATAATTCAAGAGAACATCAATATATATTATTTTAAGTTTATTTTTTTAAACTAATGGAGACTATTAGGCTTCAATATGACATGCATACATTCCTCCCTTCCACTCCATTTTTTAGTTATAGCCTGCATTATATGGCATTTATTGTGATTTTATACTGTATATTTATATGTTATAAATTCATCTCCCTCCCTCCCCCCTCTCTTTCTCTCTCTCATCTATCTATCACTTATCTAACTGTACATGTGTACAGGCCCACCCACACACAGACACACACACACACACACAAACAGAGAGAATTTTATTTTGCCGTTGTAAGCCAACCAGATTTGAAATGGGCAAACAAATTTAATAAACAAACAAATAAACAAGTAAATAAGTAAAATCATTGCAGAATTAGGACTCTTTCACATATGCCAGTAATAAGTAATATATTGTTTAATTTAATACTTTAGGGGCAACTTTACAAAATTCAAAAATAATAAAAATGGGACTGATGGATGCAATCTGTCAAGTTTCAGTTGAAAGTATCCGAATTAGCAATATTTTAGTCTATTGACTTAAATCTAAATGAAAAGACTGACAATTATGTTATGTTAATTTTGACCTGATAAATATTTTAAGACAGATACTAATTAAATCCATTTCATGCTGTGATGGATTATAGTATGGTGACTCACATCATTTTGCTTAAAATGTGGTTAATTTTTTTGACTCCCCAAGGAAAGTGTGAGATGCCTAGCTGCATTTGCAGACAGACTGCTATTGTGTACATTTAACTACTTGCCTTGGTTCTAAGTAAATATTCACACACACACACACACACACACACACACACACACACACACACACACACTGGTCTAGTTGTATTTGGGTCTTTTCCTGTGTAAGATTGAGATTGTCTTGGCAATGTATTCACAACATGAATAAACGTGATGATACCTCCTGCCTACCAGACATCTGGAAACCAGCCCTAGTCAACAAATGAGCCCCCCCCACCACCCAGGCCATTACAACACAAAACAACAATGGACACACAGCCAGCACCAATCAGCACCAATCTATCAATCATGATACAACTACACAGCCAATCAATCCACTTACTGAAAGCCAGCACTCCACACCCACCCACCAAGATTTATAGAAAGACGACAGCTCCAATCACATCTTACTCATACAAGCATGAAACCGAAAACACCAGCCTGAAGATGGCAAGTGAGACCCCGCCGAGACATTGCCAAGACGATCTCAATCTTACATGGGAAAAGACCTGAATACAACAAGACCAGCATACCTACACCCGTGAAAATCTACATTTTATTTACACACACACACACACACACACACACACACACACACACAAACACACACAATCCTTTATATGATATACTTTAGATTTTTTTCATGCACGTTTTTTTCCACAACGTGGCTCTGCATTATCAGAATGTACCTACAGAGACAGAATTAATTCTTACTTGCTCATTCCTCCTTTCTAATAAACTTGTCAATCCTTGAGTAAGTCTTTTATTATTCATATGGACCATAAGGAATAGTTTATTATTATCTAGAGGATATTCTGTTTCTTGGATTTGGCTGAATCTGATAACTGTATAAACACCTAGCCCAATTAGGCAATATTCCTCATCATATCTATATGCAGGAATCATTGACTATTCTTAATAGCATTTTGTTTCAAAGATTTCCAAGGCTACTTATGCAGAGCTTCTCATTTCTTAACTTGCTAATTCAAAACCATGCTGAGATTGTTGTTGGTTCACTTACAACTGTCAATGCAACCTGACAGTTATTGAACTGTCAATGGGCATTGAGTTGCATGTCTAATTGATTCCAGAAAGAAAACTTTCATACCTGACTAAGCATCACAGAGTAAGGAGTAATTGGAATTCTGATGGACATGTTAAATAGGAACACCCAAAAAAAAACAAAGGGCAGAATAACTAAAATATTATGTCCTCAGGTTATGACATTTATGAAAACATACATTTTCACATACTAAAACATTCTGGCTATGTTCTTGAAAGGAAATCTATGAATATGATATAATATTGATTTAGATACGTGTAATTAACTTATTTTAAATATATCATATGTATACTATATTATCTATATATACATTCTTTTAAAATTTTCCAGTTTTTGAAACAATTCTATTTTCATTTATCTTTTGTTCCATTACATTTTTGAGCAGATTTTGAGTTCTTTTCAAATATTTAGCTATGGGAATATATGTATTAATTAGGTGAGAAAGAAAATGGGGTTATATTGAAAAGATTTTAAATGAGGCAGAACCATTACAGTCTTGAGAATGAAATATCACAACCCTTGCTTCTTGGTTGAAATACTATGACCTCTGAATATGAAATGCATCTTCTAGAAGATCAAAGGCTAATTTTCTTCTTGAGGGTGACTTTCTATATTTCACCAGCCATATGACTAATACAACCAAGTTACTAATGTTGATCTTTTTCATATGGGGGCTATGTTAATTTCATATTATATTTACCATGCATTATTTAAAATATATGTAGATGTGTTTCCTATAGTTTTGAATTTTACATTTCACTGACTATAAAGTAATTTTTGAAGCATTGTATTCAACCATTTTTATTGTTCCTAATTTGATACTCACATTAGCTAGCTGGACATAGAAATGAGTTATTTCTTTGTTAAGTTGTGCTGTATTCTCTCTTTTATTGCTCCACTTCAGTGCCATGTTGATGAAATGTGTTCAGTACAATGATATGAGATAAAGTAGGCTCAGAGCCAAAAAAGATGTCCAAGATCATAGGTGAATCAGAATATAAATCCAACCTTAGAGGTATGAAAAACATTTTCCAAGGTTAAATATTTCTAGCACAGAGTCATTGTTTTCAGTGTTTCAGGTCAGAATAAAATGCTTTATTTTGAAATGTATTGATCCATCAAGCAGAACAGTCAAAATCTGGTGGAATACAATTCCTTAAAAATGCAGCAATAAAACTTTCCAAATGGGACTGTTACTGATACAAAGTTGTTGTGACTCAGCAGTTCTGCTGAGAGTCTTTTCGGGATACAAGATTCAGTATGCAGCTGGGGCTTGTGGGAGGCAGATTTGGAGATAAAAGGACGGATGCTGCCACGCCCTAGTTGCAGGAGTCAACATACGTTCCTTCGTGAGTGCCTTGGTTTGTACAACATTGCTTGTTACACTTGGATAAGTGCTTTGGTGTTTCATGTAAACCCTAATTCGTGGAGACTTTGGAAAAAGTGCATTGCTTGTAAGAGTTTTTGTTTTGCATTCTTGTCGGAGACTTGT